GGGGGGGCCCAGCTGGGGAGGGGGGAGGGAGAGGGAGGGGCCCCATTGTGGGGGGAGGAATGGGGGTCCGAGCTCTGCCTCCCTCCATCCGCATTTATTGATTGATCCATCGATTTATTGATTTGGTGATTTATTGACTGATTTCACACTTGGTCACTGTCACAGGCCTGGCCCCGCGGTCCCCTGCCCCACCCCAGTGTCCTCATCCCTGTCCCCAGTGTCCCCTCCCCCACCCCGTGGTCCCCATGTCTGTGTCACCAGTGTCCCCATCCCTGTCCCCGGTGTTCCCACTGTTCCCATCCCAGCTCCAGGTGTCCTCATGTCACCTCTTAGTGTCCCCATCCCTGTCCCCAGTGTCCCCAACCCATCTCTGTGTCCCCAGCCAGCCTCTGGTGTTCCCAGTGTCCCCATCCCACCTCAATGTCACCATCCCTGTCCCTGGTGGCCCCATCTCTGTCCCCTGTGTCCCCATCCCTAATCCCACTGTCCCTATGCCACCTCAGTGTCCCAAACCTATCTGCAGTATCTCCCTCCCTGTCCCCCATGTCCCCATCCCCAGTGTCACCACCCCCAGTGTCCTCAGCCCAGCTCCTGGTGTCCCCATCCCTAATCCGTGTCCCTGTTCCACCTCAGTGTCCCCCACCCCTACTGTCCCCAGTGTCCCCCTCCCCATCCCCAGTGTCCTCAGTGTCCCCCCCCCATTCCCAGGTGTCCCTGCTATCCCCTGCTGTCTCCCAGGGGGGTGTCCCCAGCTCCCCAGGGCTGCCCAGCTCCCGCAGCCGCCCCCCCTCCAGCAGGGCCACCCTGGGTGCCCGCCGGGCCAGGGCCACCTGTCCTGTCACCAGCAGCACCGCCGGCCCCTCCCCGGCCCTGAGGCCACCAGGAGACAGCAGCTCCTGCTCCACCTGTGGGGACACAGAGGGGTCAGAGGACAGGGGGGACACAGGGGACACGGGGGGAGCCCAGGGGCATTGGGGGGACCCTGGGGTGGGGGGACACATGGCGGTGTCAGGGGACCCCTGGGTGGGGGGACAAGGGGGACACAAGTGGGGATCTGGGGAGTGGGGACACGGGGACCAAGGGGACCCAGGGGACACTGGGATTGGGTTCATGAGGACATGGGGGTCACAGGGTGCAGGGACCCAGGGGATGTGGGGACATTGGGACAGAGGAGACCTGGGGACACGGAAGGGAAAAGGGACCCAGGGGACACGGGGACCAGGGACCCAGGGGACCCAGAGGTTATGGAGACACAGGGAGTGGGGACACAGGGGGACACAGGGGATGTAGGGACACAGGGACCAAGGAGACGTGGGAGATGTGGGGACCCGGGGGATGACGGGACATGGCATCCAAGGGACATGGGGACCCACAGGACGCCGGGATTTGGGACCCAGGGGACATGGGGGACTTGGCGACATGAGGATCCAGGGGACATGAGGGCAGGGTCCCAGGGCATGTGGTGACCCGGAGGACCCCAGGGGATGTGAGGGGCAATGACCAAGGGGACACAGGGATTGGGGACCTGGAGGACACGGGGACCCAGGGACATGGGGAATGGGGACCCAAGGGACATGGGGACCCAGGGACCCACGGAATGGGGACCCAAGGGACATGGGGACCCAGGGGATGGGACCATGGGGCCAGAGGACGGGGGGACCAGGGCCAACACTGTGACCCACCTGGCGCCGGGTCTCGGAGTCAAGTGCCCGCGTGGGCTCGTCCAGCACCAGCAGCCGGGGGGTCCTGAGCAGGGCCCGGGCCAGCGCCACCCCCTGTGCCTGCCCCCCCGAGAGCTGCATCCCCCGTGGGCCCACCTCTGGGGACAGAGGGGACACCGTGGGGACACCACAGAGACACACTGGGGACACACTGAGGGCACACTGGGGACAGAGTGGGGGCACACTGGGGAGCTGCACCCACTGTGCACCCACCTCTGGGGACAGTAAGGGGACAGGGAGGGGACAGCGAGGAGACACCATGGGGGTACCGTGGGGGCACCGTGGGGATGGTAAGTGGACACTATGGGTATGATGAGGGGACGTTATGAGGACACAGTGGGGATACCACAGGGATACATTAGGGACACTATGGGGACATGCTCGGGAGATGCTCGGGACGTTGTGGGGATTACTCCCCCTCCTCACTTCTAGGGACAGAGGGGACACTGTGGGGACACCACGGC